AGGGATGGCCCCGCAGCCCAGGAGGCTAGCTGGGACCGGAGCGGGGCTCTGTGGAGTTGCTCTGACGGAAGAAGGCGGAGAGCTCGCTCAGCGCCCTGTAACGGTGCGAGATCGAGTTCTTCACTGCCTTGGGCAGTTCGGCGTACCTGGACGGGAGAGAAACCACAACTCTCAGCAGCAGGGAGGCTGCCCCACACTCCCCCTCTGCTCGCGGTCTCCTGGCTCGACTCTTTTTTTCGGTGGCGCCCGTAGGGACACCCTGGCAGAGCCCACAGCCCCCCTCTGACCCACCACGTTCGGATCCAGGAGGGCGTTTTCTCCCTGTTCGCCCCCTCCTCGTACGCAGGTGCCTCTCCACACAGAACCTCGACCCCGGCTTTCCTTACGTGAAGAGCTGTAGGTAAAACACCACTTACGTCTGGTCGTAGCCGTTCGGCTGAAAGCAGGGATCCCAGCCAAAATCTCGAGGGCCTCTGGGCTCCACTATCAGCCCCTGCCAGGAGATAGCAAAAAAAACCCCCTGTAAGCCATGGTTTCGCAGCACTTCCCTCGCAGTCGCGTTTCAAACACAGACCGAAGAGCTACACGCACGCAGCCATAGCTTGCGCTGTGGCCACCGCAGGCACGGTGCGCGGTGCTGTCCCCCTTCCCAAGCACCTCCCGAGGATGTGACCAAAATTAGGAGCCCTAAACTCAGTGCTCCATCGTGCTGCCCTATGTGGACAGCCCCTTTACACCCCCAATTAAGAGAACTAACAACTGCACTCAAATACAACTCTGCTAGAGGGAGACGAGGAGGCTGAAGAGCCTGAGGTAACGTGCAGAGCGTTCGGTATGTACAGCCGGGCCAAAGGGCTGCAGCATTCAGCACCCACCACCCACGCCTGTTCCCAACAAGCTCCGAGGGCGTTCAGTGACCCAGGAGCCACTAAAATTGTGTTCAACAGAGCCAACGCTGTTACAAAATTCACATTGAAGCCCTCCTCCCTTCCCCAGGCACGCCACCTACGTGAGTCTGGCCTTTGAACAGCCTCACTGGCTCCTCTGGGTTTCCAGTACTGAACGCAAAGGTACAGAGCGCGTAGGCAGATTTGTCTTCAAACCCAGCCAGCAGCTTGTACAGGCCTGAGCGACACAGAAAGGATCCCGGCGTTACTGCCTTTCCCTCGGAGCGCAACACGCCCACCTAGAGACGGATCGAGGGAGCATTCTGCACTCACACTCACAAGGGAGAGGAAGAACTACAGGGGGTGACGAAGCTCAGGCACAAGGATGCTCTTGGCTGGGTGCCTCACGTGACTGAAGCCAGCACCTCAAGTCTGACACACATCTAATAGCACACGGCTCCGCTATTAATTTGGATGCAGGAGGAAACAAGTGTGAGGCACCAGGGAGGGCTAAAGCTCACTCTGATTTAGCATGATTAACACCCATGCTCGTGACACCAGCGTGGGATTTGCAGTCACACCCTTAACTGTGAGATCAAAGGCAGTCACTGCATGCCAGGGGAGGTGAGCACTAGTGGAGAGGGGCTCGCACAGAAGCGAAAGGGAGCAGCAGGTCTTCCAGGTCATACTGATGACAAACAAGAAGTTCCCAGAAGCCCTGGCACCAGCCTGCAGAAGCAGACGCTTGGGAATCCAGGGATGATGCTGAAGCTACTGCGGGAAACAACATCCCGTGAAGAAGGGCACAGAATGGGGCAGGAAAGGAACCAGCTATGAAATGGGCAGCGCCATGGGCAAGCACACTCAGCAGAACCCAGCACAGGCAGGGATCCACTTCATTTGGAAAGGACCAAGTTACGTGCAGAGCAGTAACATGGGAGGCAGTACCTTCTGGTTTGAGTTTTTCCAGGAACCATTTTCTGAAAGGTAAGAAGAGAGGAAAGATTAATTTTTGCTATTATTTCTCAGAAATACAGGCATCCTCGAGATATTGTTGCCTACATTTTCATAGCCCTTTGAATCCCTCTTAAGTGTGCTGTCAAAGTACCAAATTCTGGACAATTTACCAATAATGACAGACTTAGCTCTTAAACTGAATGGGGGGCAGTGAAAACAGCAGTAGGGTATTGAATTTACTGCAGTACTGGGATCTATGTAAATAACCCAGTTCTCACTTGTGAGTACCGACATGCCGAAATACATTTCTCAACTCATTCACATCTTATACCCTGTTCTAGTGCCAACTTCATCATCATAGAAGCACATCAAGCTTTTATGTCTCTGCTTAGCTCAGCAGAGATGGTCTGGAAGAATTAATCGCACTAAAAGTTAATTCCAGGAGCTAAGGCAGTATTTATTAGAGGAGTTACACTGCAATGTAACAATGTTGTTATCTGCTGGATTAAAAGAGTCCCTGTGAGAACCTATAGGACACTCCTCCCAGAGTCC